AGACAGATCTTCTATGTCACCAAACATGGGCTTATAAAACCACTTACCTCTCCATTTCATATTCTTGCTGTCCAGGCTTCACATGCTTCATGACCTACAGAATAATGGATAAGTCAACTACTGGATAAAACCGTTACTGCTGATCCTCTATGCATGCTTTTCTTGTAAGTCTTGTAAGTCTTTTCTCATTTGTGTATTTAAAGCTTTTGGGCATTCTCACTTTCAATATGTGGATTATTACCTCAAGCATAGACTACAGGATTTAGACGAAGTAGGCATAAAGAGTTCAGAAGTCAGTGAGAGTGCCCTCAAGCACTTTCTGATTTGGGAGAACATTTTCTGTAGAGCCACAGGGAAGGTTACACCTGCAAATCTACCAAATAGGATGGCTTCAGGGACACATGGGTAGCAAAATGCCTCTGGAAACTAAGTCTAATGATCACACTCATAACAGTGGGGTAACAACAGGAGGAACACAACATTGAACGCTCATGGGGGGTGATTTCAGAGGACAGATAACAAACCCTGAAGAGGTTATTCGTGGTGATAAAGTGAAATCCTGTGCAGAAGTAAAATATTGCTTTACTGTTACAGCTTATTGGTCAAAGGCTATCTGTGTTACTGCTGGCCTCCAAGCTGCTGGATGAAGTTAAAATCAATGACATTTAAACAGTTTACAGCCCTTAGAGAATCCTGGCATCTTGAATCTTTTGGGCGGGTTTTAACTCAAAAAGCTGTTTGATACTTTGGGTGTTTAATTTCATGCTCTGAACTTTTCTTTTCTTTCCATTCCTTTCTTTTATTGTTTGAAGAATGAACATATACCAATTTGAGAACCCTTGCTTTGTCTTGCCAAGAAGGATCTTACCATTTTATGGGCTTCACTGGAGATCCTGTTGGTGTAGCGCAGGACCTCCAGCTCCATATCGGTCTTAATCAGACGGCTGCAGACATGGACAGAAGTGAGAAATGAAAGATCATTCTGATCGTCACACTGGCAGCATTACAATAAATGTACAGCCAAACAGTACAGAGAATTCCTACAACCACCACACTGACATAAAGAAATACAGATTCTGTAATGAGATGGCTGAAAAGAGACCTTTCTGAAATGAATCTAATATACACTGCTGATACAGTAACTGATATAGAGAACAAGTGTCCTCCATCATTCCCAGGAACATTGTCTATAAATGAGGCCTGTCGTTTGGTGAAATTCCAGTGGGAACAATCTACTGACTCAGAGCTGCTGGAAATGTTTCAAACCACAATAAAATGTAATACAGCCCTTGATTGAAATCTTTAAGACCATATAAGAAATTGCCTGCAGGTCTTACCATTTCTCATTCATTTGTGATAGGAAAGCAAAAGCTGCACTTTAGATAGTATTAAGTATTTCTACAATAATAGAAACTAATTAATCACACAAAGCGGTGGTAACCAATAGTAACACAAATGAAAAAAAATAGCCCATTAAAAGAGAGCCATGCCAGCTCCTCAGAGTAGAGGGGGTAAGGGAGTTCAATCAAGTCTTCCTCCCCAGGAGGTGTGCCTGAAAACCATTCCTTCTTATTTTAGAAAATGTCAATTCATCTGGAGGGTGCAAACTCTAATGCCAAGGACAACCAAGTGAGCACGAAGTCCATTACATCCATGTGGACTGGCATCTGATTCTAAGAGGGGAAAAACAAGCCAAAGCTCCTGTTTCTGATTGCAGACACACAATTACCTGACCTGGCAGCTGTAATGTTTGTGAGTAAAAAGTAGCAGAATCTACCTGAAGGAAATTTAAAGTAATTAAGGGAGAGACTACAGTCTTTATTCTCATCTTGAGTGGGCTTTCTGAATAATATAATAAAACATGTTTTAATGACTTACCATTCCACGATGACTGGGTGTAAAAGACTGTTGTTCACTTGGAAGCTGATAAAAAAAAAAGAAGAAACAGCAACATTATAAACAGAAGTAAAGCTTTGGTAACAGTTCAATAAGGAAGATGTCTTCCCTCACAATCTGCCTCTGTTCCTCTATTGGTCAATGACTTCCTGCTGTTTTATTTTTCCCATCACATCCGCTGTCCCATGCTGTCGAAATCCTCACATTCATAATTCTGACGTCGCTATACTTGATCAAAGATCTTTCTGTCTGTGTTCCTCGAGCCAATCAGTTCCTGGTTGCTTTTATTGAAATATCACTGCAATTCTGTCTTTCAGACCTACTACTGCGCAACACACCAACTCTCCATCACCACCATGACCTCCAGGTTGTCCACAGAGACTCTACTGAAAGTTTCCATCAACCACCTGCTGGCTTCACTCCACCGCCACCAGGGTCTAGACTCCAGGGGGAACCAGTCCCATTTCCTACTTTCTTACAGGCCTACGCTTCATGAAGATGTTTCACATCAGTGGAGTCTGATAGCCAAAAAAGTTTCCTCAATTGCTAACCTCAATAAATATTGTCATACTTCCAGTTGAACTCTCCTTATTGAAATGCAATTAGATGCAAATTGATATATTAGCTTTGAAATCAATGTATGAGATTTCTTTCTTAAAACCATTAGGGTCAGAGTGTAGAACAGATAAAATGATGTAATGTATGCAGTTAAAAAAGAACAAAGACTAGCTAAAGATAACAGTAACATCACCATTAACTGATAACTAACAAGCAAGATTGTTTGCTTAATTAAATTATATACATATATATTCAGAATTAGGTTAATCAGCAACAGTCAGTATGCATGAGACTCTGCTGTATCCTTGGTTAGAAAAGAAAGAGAAACCCAATAACCTCCACAAACAAAGCAGAATTGTGTTCATGCAAAGTGACCCTAATTAAAACATACCGACTAATTCCTTCAAAGGAGGCTTCACGGCAGATACTTCCGCTATCAGTATTCTGTCCTCGCTGCATGGGGAAAAAATCCAAACACAAAACGCGATCACCACAAAGTGCATTCAAACGTCAGTACATTGTATTAAATAGGTTTATATCAAGGCTGATAATCTATTCTATAGGTAAAATGACTTTTAAGCAGTTGATCAATATAATAATCAGGTCAGCAGATGATCTGAGCAAATGAACAGCTTAGACATAAATAAAACGAAAATAAACCCAGTGTTTTTGTTTTGATATAATGAGTAAGCTAGCTAACATCAAGCAAGGTGAGGTATATCTAACAGGACCTTTTACAGACTACCATCCTTATCACTAGCTGTAACCAGGTAGGAATGAGTGATGCACTGTTCTAACTACACTACAATACAGAGATACCATCAGCATACCAGGGTGAGGAGAGTTGATGGTCCCAGGTTGGACAGGACATCAACAATCTGCAAGCAAACAAACAGGGAGTAATTAGAAGAGTAACACACAGCAGAGCAGCAGAGACAACAAGCGCCAGTTTTCTTCTGCTCTCAGTCTGCAGAATAAAGGTCACTGTAGCAGACGCTGTTGTGGCTATGTGGCCTCTCTGGTACTCACAGCACACTGAAAGACAAACCTCAAGTGACTTTATTACTCCTCTGCCAACAGCTTAAATGTCAGATAACAGATCCCTGACTCAGTGTGGTATTTGAGCATTTTATTATCATTAATACCACTAAAATTGACTTCCTAAAACAGTCACTGTATTGTCTCTGTAGAGTAGAGAAAGCCCTCCCTAGCAACTAAAATGATATCTAAATTTCATCTTAATTTTGGAACACTGGAATAATTGCTATTATGCTTTAAAGTTTTAAATGTCGTTATGGGGATATCATTCTCATTTTAACTGTGATTCAATTATAGCTGCAACAATATCTTCAACCTGTAAAAATGAGGCTGCCTCAACCATTTAATCAGTTACAAATCTGACATCTTTTTTATTTTTTGAATGAAATCTGATTTAGAACAGTAGTTGTATACCACTGGAGTAAAACACACTTGTCAGTCGGATAGAAGAAGCAATATATGGAGGAAAAAACCTCTGTCAACAATAAATCTTAAAGGCAAATACCAGGCAGAAACTTAAAAAGGCTGAAAAACATTATTCACATTGTATACACACACTGCATCCAACAATCTAAAGGTAAACTGTTTGTATGTTAAGCAGGGGAGTGCTGATACAAGTATGTGTGAAACTACACCTTCCAAGTCTCAGTGTTTGAAAAACAGAAAACTGCTCAAATATTTATGACCTGGTTCTAATAAAAACACACATTGTTCTCTTTTAGGTCCTTCCATAGGCCGCATTGCTAACTGCATGCTGAACACCAGCAACTCATTTCTTTGCCTGACTAGATGGCAGCATTAGTTAAACAAATGCAGAGGCATGATATGATTTCATGTTAATATTATACTACAGTGTTGAGCTGCTTCTGCCTCATAGAAGAATTGGCAGCCGATTAAAGTGATAATTTGAATCTTAACCTGTGACTAATTAGGAAATCTCACACCTCAGGCAGGTGTGGAGACGTAGAAATTCCTGAAATATCACCAGTGGAATGAGTCATTAAAAAAGGACACAATGTGAATGTACAGTAGGAATGAAGGTAAAACTGCATTTGATTGATTCTTTTAAATACAATGTCTCGTGATTTGTTGGCCAGTGAAAGCTCTTATATTACAGTCTAATAATATTCTCTTGATTTCTCAACATGCACACCTCCAAAATAGCTCTGAAGCTGTCAACCCTCCAATACAGCTCCCTTAAGGATCTGCTGTCTGCTCCGATATACTGTTTTCCAAACTCACAAAGTAGGTAATTAGAGACAGTCTGAACAGAATTATATGTTTAGATTAGGTTTCTAAAATGAAGGAGCTGCCGGTTACAAATATAAAATAAAATTCAAGACAGAAGTCCCCAAAAAATCTTGGTTGTTATCTGTCAGAGGTACGCATATGAATGAACTACTGTACCAAATGAATTATCAGTATGATGCTCTGCATGAGCCCACCTACTAGATGTCATGGCAAACACACACACATCAGAGTATTTTAAAATGATCATCATGCATGTTAATATCTATTTACACATTGTGACAAATATGCTTAACTGAAAAGGGTTTATAATTGAATTTTACTTGACATGTTTAGTTGATCAGAATAATGCAGGTCTATGCTCTATACTAAAGATATATGGGATGATACATTCTACTGTAGGAGGTTTTTGTACAAACCCAAACTGGATATTGGTCTTACCATCTGGCGCCACCAACATCTTTGCCAGGAGTTTAAAATAAAAGAATGATGTCTT